TCTGCTCTGTTTGCGGTTTGGTTTACAGTGATTGCAGCTGTGTAGCTTTGGAATGCAGTGGACCCTGTGTTCCTGTGCCTTTGCGTGTGCGACCTGTAKGMGTGKGTGCGTGTCTTGGCCACTGCCAAAATTCGCGACGGGKTTTTTCGGAAACCTCGGGCCGGTCGATGGTGGCCTCTGCGATTCGATTGTGGGTTTGRTTTTGAACACCCGTAGTCTGCGCMGGTGTGCGATGCGAACGAACCGTGTGTGCCGGATGCAATCCCGCCGTGCGTGCTGKTTGGATTGGAACCCGTATCCGAGGCGAAGAAATACTGCGAGCGTACGAGTACTGTATCGGTACGAGCACKGTACGAGCACGATCCAACGCCRGTGGTGTGCCGGGCCCTTTTTTGTTTCAAAACAAAACAAACGCGAAACACAACAACCGTTCCCTTGGCATGCAATGAACCAGCAGATTCGGGTAGGGTACCGTGCGATGCGATGCGATGCGATGCCGTGCGAGCAATGCAGCTGTGGGTCAATGGGACCGTCCACTAAGACCGATGCGGTGCTCTAACGCTGTTGTCGGAACGATACTTTGCCCAGACGCTGTAGTAGTGTACGATACCGGATTCAAATTGTTTCGTGGTTTCTCGGGAGGATGGYGTCGGTCCCCCTCGTTTTCCTCGTCACGGCTACAAGACCGCGTTTTAGGTCTTAGCGCTSCCACCACCGTACCGGACAGTACGAGTGCCCGTACCGTACGTACTGCATCTCCACGAGCGAGACACCCACCGGAGTACGAACTCGTACGAGTACCGTACGTAGTGGTGGTGTCTCGAAAGCTTGCCGCCTGGTACGATACCGTAGGSCATGTACGTTGACTGGATCGAGTCTCCCACCAAACGAGGTGCAGCAGCAGAGTCGTACCGGTACGTAGCGTACATAGCGGGCCTGTAGGATTTCAACCCTTCGACGCTCGAACGTCCCGGATCGATTTTTTTGGCGCGGAACTACGAAGTCCACAGGTGGTGGACACGGARTTGCGGCCGTGCGGGCTGGTGCGCCACATACGGGACCGGCGCGCAATCGAGGGGATTTCAAACCCARCAACGGAGAGCAATGCCGCGAAGCTAAGCCCCATCGTACCGTATTTTACGGTAATCCCATGGTAGATCTATTGCTGTAGCAATACAGTACGATGAGTACGGTACGTACTGGTACGTATTCTGTACTTGTACTCGCAACCGGCGTGGTTTSGCCGATTTTATTTGGCGCGGACGCCCCCGTTGGTTTTTGGGTCGAGGGAGTCGATTCAGTCGAGTCGTATCGTATCACACGATTGGAATTCTGCGAGGACCCTGCCGAGCCGGTCGAGCCGGAAGCTTCGTTGGCGATAGGGCACTTTTTCCGGGCGTCCCCTCTGGGTTTTGAGGTGTCCGGGGATRGCTCTGCTCTGTGCTTTACCTACCGGTTTGCGTGTATGGTASGTACCGGTACTCGTAGTAAAAGCACGGTACCTGCCGTGCCCTCCCCTCTCGCTCCGATGCATGCACGGGATGTCACCCCTGGCGCCTCCCTCCGACGCCGACGGATCCCGCCGCGCCGGGTGCGATACAGGACAAAGCACAAACACGATACAGCAAAACACAACACAACACAACACAATACAATACAGGACGAGAACACCAGGTTCGCGCTCGGAGAGCTTGCTGTTCAAACAATACATCAGGCGTTAGAACACTTCTCGCCATCGGTTGAACAAAACGAAACCCGATACAAAACCAAACCAAACAAAACAAAACAAAACAAAACCTTTGTCGAAACCGGCGTTCTCCCACCGATACATCCTCGCTGAGGACAGACCCACAAAAGCAACCATAGCATACAAGACCTGCGAGTGACCAGGAACGGAAAACAACCAGCYAGCCAGCAAAACCAGAGCAAAGCAAGGCACMAACACAGCAAAACAGCGAAACAACCAAACCAACACACACCAGCAATCSAATCCAATCSAATCCAATCCAATCCAGGATGCCCGTCTTTGCGGTGTGCGTCACCGCCGCCGCCGCGGGCTTTTCCGCCGCCTAYGAGGCCGGGAGGGCCAGCGGGGAGCGAGCTTGCCGGGAAAGCCGTTCCCGGAASAAGCCCCATCCCTCCCGGCCCTTCAAGGCCATCGCCGGGGGGAGCGACTACCGCTTCGCGGCCCTGCTCGCYKGTCTCCTGGTCTTCGAAACATGGSTCCTCCCGCGGTCCTGGAACCCCTTCTGGCAGGCCCTGGAAACAGCGGAAGCTTCCTCGCCGGTCTCGTTGTGGTCCCGCTTCGTTTGCCTCCTCGTCTACGGGTGCTGGAGCGGGGTCCTGGCCATCGGCTACGGGGGGGTCTCGGCCCTCTGCGACGCCCTCCACGACGAGCGGGAGCTCCTGGAAAAAAGGGCCTCCGAGCACCGCAGGGCGGCCAACGCGGCCGAGACGGCCCTCGAGGAGGAGGACCGCCGCCTCTCCTCCGAAAAGCGGGCCCTGGTGGCCTCCCTCGCCGCGGCCGCGGGCGAGTGGAGGCGCCTGGAGGCCTCCCGGGCCGAGCACGACCGGGCCCTCGAGGCCCGGGCCGAGAACGACAGGGTCTGGTCTGGGACCCTCTCCGAGCAGCTCGACGCCAAGACCAAGAGCCTCGTCGACAACGCCATGGACCAGCGGTGGAGGGACGTCGAGCACAGCACGGCCGGCATCGAGGAGATGCGCAAGAAGAACGCCGCCAACCAGAAAAGGCTGAGGGAGCAAAAGGCACTCCGGGCGGAGCGGGCCAAYGCCCAGCAGACCGAGCTCGAGGGCGAGAAGCAAAAGCTCGAGGCCCTCAAGGGCGAGCTCAAGGACCTCGGGGCCACGATGGAGGCACTCAAGGAGGAAAACGCCAAGAAAGAGCGGGAGGCGATCGACGCCCTCAAGGAGCGGGAGGAAAGGCTCAGGGAAAAGGAGAAATCCTTCGAGGAAACCCACGGCAGGGAGCTGGAACGGCTGACCAAGATAGAAGAAGATCTAAGGGCCAGGGAGGAACGATTTTCCTCCGGCGAGGAGCGCCTGGAGCTCCTGCGAAAGTCGGAGAAGCTCGACTCCTCCATGGTCAACGTGGCCAGGTTCAAGAAGGAAATCGAGATCAGYGAGAAGGCAAARCTCGACGAGATCGAGAAGCAGCGGAGGGTCCTGATCGAYCAGGARAAGCAGCTTCGGSAAATCGCCAGGAAGCGCCAGATCGAGCTGGAGGAGCAGGAGGAGCGCCTAAAGGAGGGCGCGCAGAAGCGAGAAATCGAGCTCCTCAAGCAGGAAGAAGAAATCCGCAAGAAGGCGGAACAGCGCAAGACCGAGCTCGCGAAAGAGGAAGAAGTGCTCAGGATACAGGCCGAGCAGAGAAAGACCGAACTCGCGAAACGCGAAGAAGAACTGGAGGAAATCGCCAGAAAGCGTGACGAGGAGCTCAAGGAGATCGAGAACAAGAGACGAGAGATCGAGCTGGGACAGCTCGAACTGGAATTCAAGGAGGTGGCCAAGAAGCAAGATCTTCTCCTAGAGAAGCGAAAAGAAGAACTCAAAAAGAAGACGCTGGTGGTTTCCACCGACAACAGCGACGCGGWAGRAAGCCAGTCCGAGTCGCCGGATCCGAACCTTCCCGGGGACGCAGAACCGAAAGCGTCTAGCTATTACAGGAGTCTCTTCGAGCTCCACGAGGAGGAGGAAGGCCCGGAAGACGAGATGAAATTTGGWCGAACACCTGCGTCCCCGCGGGCGGCCAACCTTCTTTCCCCCATTGCGGAAGACACACCGGTGGCAGCACCGGCGGTGGCGCYGGAATCTGGCGGAAGCAGGCAAGAGCAGCAACGTCCGGTGGTMTTCCAGAGTGGCGACRAGGTCCTGATGAGCGTCACCAAGAGMCTACACTCGGGAGCCGAGGCAGTGCTGGAATCGATGAAACTGATGGGAGAGCAGGTCATGCCAGACTCYCTCTTCACCAGCGAAACTAACGTCGAGAACGAAACACCGGTGGTAGACCAGAAACAGCAGCGGCAGCCACCCGCTCAACCCTCCTCCTCCTTCCGGCCCGCCTCGCTGATGGACCTRGACGAGGACGACGACATCGAATCCACCACCAGCCGCACGGTTGCCGACAAGGAACCTGCAGCGCCTGGCGCACAAGAACAAGGAAAGGACTTCGGGGAGATCMAGGAGAGACCCCGGCCGGCCGATGCCGCTGCCAAAATTACCGACGGAAGCGAGGCTAGGGCATTCTTTCCGGACAGCATGGACCAACACCAAAACCGCGGCACGAACAGAATGGAAGAGCGCGACGACGAAGACGAACGTCCTCAAGCCATGGCAGACAACGACATGGAAAGAAGCTGGCTCCAACCCGAAGAAGCCAGGGATCCCATCGATAACACCGCAAGCAGGAAACACGGACGACCGAACCACAAGCACAAGGTCACCAACAGCATCTTCGATTCCGACAGCGAAGACGACAGCTTGTCGTACCACATCCAGCGAGACATTGCAAAGAAGAATCGCCGAGAAGAGGAGCTGGAACCAGATGGCGCCTACCCCACCGGCGAGAAAGCCACCGGGGACAGGGTTGGCCGCAAGGCTTCCCCCCTCAAGGAGATTTCGGAAGCCCTGAGAGTGTACAAGAACGCGGACAAGAAGTCTCCGGGCCTCCGCGTCGATTCAAGGGCGTGCGGTGCCGCAGAGAAACCATCGTAYACGAACGAGATCCCCGTGTCRCCRACCTCCGAGACGAGCGCGAGTAGCAACGCGTCGTTCACGGGCGAAATTCCCATGTCTCCGACGGCCACCACCAGCAACACCACTGATTTCTTCAAGGGAATCCGGTCCATCGCCCACCAGCCCTCCGACATGTCCTCGGTGAACTACGGCGACAGATACGGTGTGTTTGTGAACAAGGCCGAAGAACGAGARATCCCAGCCAAGGACAATGGTTCTTCCAGGAGAAGGCGGTCGAAGAGAGACATCCGCAAGAACAAGGGCAGATCGCTGGTCGTGAGCGAGGACGCAGGGGTGGAAGTCATTTTYTAGTGCAATTGCGCWGGATTCCAGAGTTGCGGTACGTTTCCATGCCGTGCGCGATGCGAAATCGATGCCAGCCACTGCTGATTCTGGAAGTACCGGACGGAACACGGTGATCTTGTAAGACCGATGAGAACAAGAACAAATAGGACAAAAAGGCAACAACAACAATATCATTGCGCGGCCTGTCACTGTTCTGTGCCAGACATTGTTCGGTGGAATTACTACTGCTGGTACTAGTAGTAGTATGACTAGTGGTGATGATCAACTAGTAGTAGTACTAGCATGGGTACTACTAGTACTGGTGGGAATGACAAAATCCATGYGAGAGCCCTCTTTGCATGATTGTTGAATACAAAACTGAATGCATCGAACTAGTACTGGTATTCAAACCAAATATAGTACAAGTTAACAGAGACAAGCAAGAACAAATAGTAGTAGTAGCACAAGTACGTACTAGTATAACCCATAAAAGTACAAATAGTACTACTAATTTTGAGGTCACGATTAGTATTACTAGAACTACTGGTGGTAATGGGTGATTCCCGTAAACATAGATTTAAGTAAAATCGTATTAGACTTCAGACGTGCACACATAGAAGTATGTGTTTTTGACACAGATACATAGATTTTTGGTTCAGRCAGGCTCTCGACAACCAAAAGTATGCAAAAAACACATAGATTTTTTGGAATCCTCGATTCAAAAATTCATTAGTCACGAGCAACTGACAGCCAGTTCTCAAGTCATTAGTCACGAGCAACTGACAGCCAGTTCTCAAGTGTCAACGACTGCCGGGGAATGCAATTATTTTCTGTTAATTTCAAGCAAAATTCCATATTCCTAAATTAAGCACATGTAGCGCGCCATAATTCAATATCTAAGATTCTAAGTTTTTACATAGTACTCATTCCCGTTGAGTCATAGACACAAAGTATGTCAGTATAGATTCTATGTTTACGGGAATTACCCAATAATACTTATAACCACTTCTACTAGCTAAGAATAATTGTTGATTTCCCTCTATCCATGTATTTCAAAGAATAGATTACAACATGCACTGCCAATCATAGCTACAGACAGATTCTTTTCAGGGCATGCAGGAATCAGTGACCATAAACCAATGCGTACAGGTTTTTGTCCTAAATAGTGTGTGACAAGTCCATAATTGGTATGAAATCTACAGGGGTYTMCGWCAAGCACAGTAACAATAGYATTTTAAACAAGAAAATAAATAGTTATCACTYAGTTCCATGTAGAAYCCAGCTCAAGCTTTCAAATAAAGYAGTAGTGTATCCCCACCAATAATGACAAAGTGCTGGCTGGCTCAAATATTTCACCCCTGAAATGGATTCTTTTTGAGCTCWGGTGTTTGGTTTGGTCACTGTCTGCTCCACTGACTTCKTTATGCTCTTCTTTGGTGCATTATTGTACAAAACTTCACTGTGGAACCCTGCATGATTCAACATTTTCACTGCTCCTGCATGATGTTTTTCATGCACAACCAGTCATGCTGCATTTGGATCTGGTGTTGTCAAATCAATTGAACCATCTGGCAACACAATCAGTTCGTRGGCAACATTCTCATCATGCAGASATTTCTGTGTGAAAGGCACAATCCCAATTGTYTGTCATATATCTTTGCATCTTTCAATAGAAAACACCTTTTCARATGCTTACTCCAATACAACATCCTCATTCCATCCATCCAGCTTACCATAAACTGGCAGTAGTTAATCTGAATAGTATAGATTATCATTGTGTGTGCTTGCATTGATGTTGTGCCAACCTCTCCAAGATCTTTTGGTATAGTGTTTTGAAATATCCACAATTGAGGTCTGCAGATTGAGTCACAGYATGAGTACCTATTGGGCACTCCATTGTGGTGGATCAGAAAACCACAAGCCAAAACAGCTGCTAGCAAATCTTTGTTGTTTTGCCCAGGGCTGCTATCAACAATTAAYATGACTTGTTGTTTGCCTGGAAGATCACATGTGTCAGGGTAAAGTTTAACAATTGCATTGAGTACCTATTTTTTGAACTGCACAGCATCCATTCCAGCAGTTTCATTGCAAGAATACATAATTTCCTCCTCTGTATCATATAGGCTTGGCCAGCCAATGTACGGTTTAAACCTTGGATTTGTGGTCATCTTTTCCTGTGCAATGACTCGTGGGATTAAAAATTGGCTTGTACTGCAGTGTACAGCGGACACGTGCTCACGTGCTCAGTACCATAATCGAATTTTTGAATCCCACCAAAATAGTTTTGCTCGCACGTGCAAAATAGTTTTGCTTGCATGTGCCAGCTGTAAACTCCAGTACAAGTCAAATTTTAATCCCACGAGTCGTTACACGGGAAAAAGATGGCCATGGATCCATGCATATGTATAATTTAATGGCATAACTGCTTTAGTCCCGAACTGACAGTTTGGGCAATAACTTTTTCCCCAACGGACGCTTACTAAGTATGATGAGCACATGGTTAAAAAGAGAATTCAAAGAGCATTCGAATGCGGTGGGGGAGTACGACATCCAACAAATATTCATCGATATAAGTGTATGTATATCTAGTATTTCTAATGTACGGTTTAAACCGTGTTTTTTTGCTTGGCCCACGTTATACGATACACCTTTTGTGCTTTGAACTCTGTTAACAAAAATCATCTGAAGGCACTTTGTTTTCTTCTTCTGTTGCAATCGATTTCAGTTGGAAATGGGGGAGGATATTTTGTAGCAGTGTTACTACCAGCAACCAGTGTATTTCTGGAGCTGCTCTTGTTCCTAAAATCTGCACCACAACCAATTGCTTTATCTGCAGGTCCATAGTACTAAGTGGCTGTAGACGACAGCCCCCCTGTCTGACTTGCATTACCACCATCAAGCATAAGGCTTGATTCATCCAAACTTAATAATTTAGTTGATTTGTCCAGCAGGGAAGAAAACAACCTCTCCTTCAACAAGAAGTTCCTCCACACCCTTGATTCTTGCAAACCCTTCAGGAACAAGCTTGTGGTCTTTGAGTGTGGTAAATAATCTGTTATGCTTTTAAATATAGTCCACTGCTGGAGAAGCCTCTCTTCTTACCTTCTTGGTAGTAGTACTCCCTTTTCTGCTAGTAAGAAGATGCACAAAATCTGGCAAAAGCCTTCCATATAGAGCATCAAAGTTGTTGACCAAACACAGACCTGGTTGCAAACACTGCTTCAGCAATGATGAGATGAGCAATAATTTCCTATGAGGTATCCATTGTTTTTCTTTGCACACAAGAGATACAAATGACAACATGCCATTAAACAGAGTCTGCACACCAATAGTCTACTAAGGCAGTAAGCTTTTCCTACCTCACTTTGGCAGTACATCCCAAGTGCTTGTTTGGGGTGTCAGGGGGATTGTTTAGTAGAACTGAAGTCATACTTCCACCAATTGAATCAGAGACAGGATGAGTAACACTCTTCTTGGTGACAACAGCAGCAACACTTTGTTTCGTGGTGTTGCTTGACGTGGTTAAGACCTCTGATCTGCAACTTCTGGATTCCCTTCCTCCTCTTAGTAAAATAATGAATAGATCTTCTACYACTACTATGTAGTAGTGTGTTGGGAGTATGGTTGAAGAACTGGAGGAATGACAGGCCCCTACTAGTAGTAAGCTGGAGGTTGTTGGTGTTGTTGTGTCAATAACAAGTTTTTTTGTAATTTTGTGCGCAGGGAAATCAACAGGCCAAAAGAGATTCTCCAACAAAAAACACCAGTAATATAAACCAAATCTCCAGTTGATGGAAGAAAAATCCTTTCAAACCAACRGAGTCTCTAATTCTTATTGGGCCCTCCTCTTGGTAGCACCGAAAGGAAGCTGGCAAGATAGCTCCACCAGCTACTAGTATTACTACTAAAAACCAGCACCTAATTATTCATAACCTATTGGGTGATTCTCRTTATTCTAAAAACTCTAGATTTGATAGACTCTCTAGATTTAGCATCTTTAGAACCAGTCAAAGCACCACCCTGGCTGGTGTCCTAAATAGTACTCTAGATTTAGAGTGGAACCCACGAATAAAATTTTCCTGTCGTCGTCCATTGAAAGACTTAGTACTAACACACCATGTATCAAAAATGTGTTTGTTCCTTCATGTGCCTCTTTTAGTCATTAAATAAGATTCCAAATTMCTAAAAGGACTGCAATGAAGGCGGCCTTCCTCTCAGTCTGTCCATTAAATTTTGATTCCCATTATTCTAGATCCCTACATTTAGCGCTTCAGAGTTTTCTTAGAATAATGGGAATCACCCATTCTAACTGTAAAGTACTCGTACTTGGTACGGTACACTCGTACCTCCTCGTTGTGTGCTGTTTTCGTGAATCCGCATAGCGAAAATGTATGGGGCCCATAACCTGATAGAGGCAAWTAAATTTCGTATGATGACATCTGTTTTCCTACTGCCATCGCTTTMTGGTCGCACGCGATGCTGGGAAAGCCGCTCGTTTCATAGCGCGCCAAGAATCGATGCAAAAGATGACGCACCAATGATCGATTCGTTCTTTCTTCGTTTTGATTCGCTTCTTCGCCGCTACCTCACTATTTGTTTCTCTCCACACCGCAAATGACGCACCGTGGCGTTCTTTATCGCGWTGTAACCATCAGTACAAATTTTACGCTCTCCTACAAAAACTTCAGGAAAGCCGATTTCGATTGATTCAATCCGAATTCGAAAGAATTTCACATGTTTGTTAACTCTTGTAAGATTAAACTACTGTACCCTATTGTAAGTGTAAGAGAGTACGAGTAACTGACTCGTAGTAGGGGACGTACACAACATGAAACTGCCGTGCAAACCCGAACTCAAACTGTAATAAGCTCAAAGCAATGATAACTCGCCGTACAAAAGCAACAGATGTCCACAAAATCTCAAAATCATACCAGTACCCTTGTCAAAACACACAAAACATACCGCCGACACGAGATGCCCTTTTAGGAAAGACTTCAAGACAAGTCATACAACACCATCGAATACTCATCGAATAACACAATATTGTACTTARARGATTTATTGTCGAATGGCATAGTGTATYAAAGGCGAACTGCGTGCTGGAAATTGCAAGCAAACTTTAGAAATAGAGCGCAAGAGTTCAGAGACACGGTTCACCATGGCACTTCTCGGCAAACGCGGGCGCCCTTCCAAGAGGTCGAAATGCTCGCCTTCCACAATGAGTTGTCACTATTCAATGGCGACCACGAAGGCAGTCAAGCCCAAGAATCATGTCCATCGTAGTGATAATCAACCGACATCATCGACAACAACGATAAACACAGMGACAAAYTCGGGTACTATTCATCCTCCACACCACAATCTCCAGCAGAGAGAACAACAACAGCAGGCAGAGAAGGCTCGGCTCACTAAAACGCTACAACAAGAAAAGATTCGGGCGATCGAACGAAAGCGCACAGTGGCGTTTGCGAAGAACGCGAATGTGAATCGTGTTTCTACTGACACTCGTACGACTGATGAACAAAACCCAGTATCAAAGTTGCCGTCGCTCGTGCATCCGAAACGCTCTCCCCACACTACTCCTAATCCCACGAGAAGGGTAACATCACTAGACATTTTGAGTCTGAATGCTGCTTCCTCGCCTCCCTCGTTGTCTTTGACCGTTGTCACACCACGGGAAGTGAAACTTGCTTGCGTTCCAAATACGAGGCCTGAGATGATYCCAAACGTGGCGAACACAAGCGATCCACTAAAAACTCAAACTGAATTACCAGCTATGGTTGCGGCTTTTCCTGGAACTACAGAACCCGAACAACAGCCGACAGCCCATCAAGCATCAGTTCGAGATCGAGTCAAGTACGACATGGAATGTGTCCCTCCGATCCGAATAGAAAAACTCCAAAAGGATGGCGACAAAATCCAGAMAAATTTAAAGGGAATAGCAACCACGCCGAACAGRATTCCGATYGATAGTGAAGAGTCGTCGCGTTCTCCTACACAAATTCGTCCCTCTAATACAAGTCYAATCAATGATAATGATAGTCGCAACATCCTCCAGGGCTCGCAACCGCAATCGTTCGTGCAAACTACGATGCAAGATAGCGTACTGTGGATTCCATCCTGTCGACAGGATTGGGAAGACTGCATAAGCGAAATGAAAGCTGTCTGTACTTCTGCAGCTTTTCGACGATGGTCCCGAAAACTCTTGGATGAATTTCAATCGCGTTCGACATCATCCTCTGCTTCGAGTTGGAACTTCCATCCACCCCTTGCACAGGCCTTTATCAAGGACCGGGTCCGAATAGATGACCCCCTCAGGGGCTACCAGATCAGACACGCCCAGGGTGGATGGCTCCAGGGTTTTTTGCTGTGGACCAACTTCACCGTTTGGACCCAAGACTTTCACTGGGATTCCTTGCACACCGCGAGTGGACTTCCAGCAGAAGCAGCTTTACACAGAAAGACGAAAGCGACTAATGAAATCATGGACGATGATTATGCTACAAGCATCATGCTGGCAAGCGAACTGGAGTCCCTACCACGAGGAGAYCCTGATCCCATGGATGGAGGAAGGGTATTTCACCAAGTGGCAGAGATTTCTCTCTTGGGTGGATTGGGGTGTGGGCGGATCTTGTTGCAGAAGGCCATCGCGGAAATTGCCAATGCAACAACAGAAGATGAAAGTAGAAAGTACAAATACGTGGTGTTGCAAGCAACAGAAGGATCGCGGAGCTTTTATCAGAAAATGGGATTTGTCCGAGTCGGTGCTGTTTGTCGTTATCGATGGGCCGGCACTGCTACGGTTGCTCCTGGAAAARCTCCCACGACGCCTCGTTCCTCGTTACCTTTTAATGGTTACCGCCACTGGACATACACAAATGAATCTTCTGTGAGTTTAGACGCTCACGGCGGACCATCGGTTATGATGTGTCTAAAGTTACCGACATCGATTGATGATTTGGATGATGCGATTTCGATTCCTATATCTACACGAAAACCAAACATTCACCCTATTGTTAAAAGCGAGCCAACGAACAGAAATCCAAACAATAACAACAGTAACGACTTGAGAGTAATTCCTGTCGAACTCGCTATTGCCCCGACACGCAAAAGCAAACGAAAGCGGAAACCAAAACGATTCGGCGACGATGACACAGGCGAGCCAAGTAAGCCAGAGCACCAGGAGCGGCAAGAATACGAAGCACCCGACAACTGTGAGAATGTTCAGAAAGAGAAAGAATCATTTTACTCCGCCTCTCCAGCCAGTGGGGCTGAAAGAGGATTTTCTGCTGCCAATCATAATGTAAATGCGAACGCAAAAGATCTATTGGAAAGACATGGCTCAAATTCTAGTTCTACTAGAGCCGAAGACAAGGTTGACCACCTTCCTCATGACACTCTGTTGAGAACAGCACCAGAAATGTGCGGTGTGCAAACGGTTCTTGACAATGATTCGACATTCCGACAAACAGAAGAGAATAATAGCAACAACGCTGTTCGGGAAGATTCAGGTGTAGCAGTTTGCGTACATGAACACACCCCAATTCATCCTCCTCCCTTMGCTTGTGTAGTGAATACAACCCATCCACAGCAAAAAAGTCGAAGACGTGATCAGAATACAACATTGAATATAACACCCAACACCATACCCTCAGCGACAGCTGCAGATACTTCAAATTCGAATAAGTTTATTAATGTTGCTTCGAACGCAGCAATGCGGCAGAAACGAAAGCGACCACGAGTGGCAAGCACCAACCCGAACGCACCTATTGGAGTTCCAGAAGTCGGGTTGAGGAAAACACCTTGCACACGTCCTCGTCGCCAGTCAGTTTTGCGCATTGACAAGTCAAAGCTATTGAAGTGTAACGCCGATGCGGACTCGACTCAAACATCTTTCAACGAAGATAAGGATTATACTAATCGGGTTGTTGTACTACGCAAGATTCTTACTAAACTGATTTCGGATCATAACGACAAGCTGGATGATGATCACCGTGGAAAACCCCCGTTGCTGCATTATAATGGCGGTCTAATGATTGATCACGGATACGAATATTGCTATTACTTTGTCTTGGAACACAATCGATCTCATCAAAGCTTGACCATTGTACCAATGGTTAAGGATGGTGTATTTGAACCAGAAGACATCGTCATAGGCACTAATGGTACCATGACCAAAAGAAAAAATACCAATAGCAACATCGAGAGTTGCTTGGGGCGTCCTCTTTACAGATGCAATATTCTCGAGACGGACAAGAACTGGATCCGCGGAGCCTCCATCAAGGACTACCAAATTATGACCGGGGCCACTTCCATTGTTGGCACCCCTTTCATTGCAGACGAAACCTGGGACATTGCATTACCCACAAAGTAAGAACGACGRGGTGTACATGTGTTTAAGCTCAACGAGTGACGAAAGAAAAAATAGAAAGACTCCCGAATGTATGAGTCTATCAAATAGCATACGAAATTGATGTAGTAATTACCTGTACAAAGCTGCGTTTTAACGAACTATTTATACTCACAAAAAAGGTCATAGAAAAATCGTGCTACTGTACTTTGTTGCAGATCTTCATACCATACATCTTATGAAATCAAAGCCTGTAGAAAATCCTCGACTTTGTAAAATGCTCTGATTTTGTGTATTTCTTGGCGTCCTGAGAATAATGAGATATTGATTTACGCRCCTCACCAAACAATAGTAGCGGATCCTCCCAGTCTCAAGAAGAGAAAAAGAGAGTCATTGGTGTAAAAAAACTAACATGTACATTTATTGGCTTGCTCTTTGGAGTCATACCGTACTAGCCAGAGCTCCTAATTGTTGATTCAATGCGATTTGTCATATGAAGTCTTAAAGAGTAATTGAAATGWTAACCCTATTGACTAGATAAATTAATAAAGAATRAGAATACTCTGGGTAYTGTAAACATTCCATTGTATCATAGGAATGATCCTTTTCTTACAAATAGACCACAATTTTGTGCACCTTCGCCATAAATTGTGATTTGGACAAAAACAATGTCAAGCGCAATAAAGTCAAGTTCTTGGCGATTCCCTGGCTGTCATTTTTTCATTTTCCCATATTTATTTCCCCTCTCCCCCCTTCCACACTAACAGTTACTTAGTCCTTTATTAGCAATAGCTACTAGTTATAAGAATGATAGTTATAAGAAGTAGAAATAAACATGCTATAATGATTCTATTGACTAGTTCACTATGTATTCAAAGTAGTAWGCAATCTTAAATTGCATGTGTGGTAGCACTACAAAGTAGCAAGAAATCTTAGATTGTATTCACGTACTCGTAGCTCAAAAAGTCAAGCTTTTTTAATTTTTCCCTCGAGGGCCCTCCAGTACCGTTATTTTTCACAAAAAATAATCCATGTTTTAAAACTTGGGTTCCTGGGTTCCTGGGTTAACCCACAAATAACCCACGAAATAACCCACAAAAATAACCCACGAAAAACCCACAAACCTGCTGGGACTTTTTCCAAAAATTAAAAACAGTGATTAAATAATGTTAATGACTAAAATACTTAACATCCTTGGTTCTCCATCAACCCAGATGACTGTAACTTCGTGGGTTATTTGTGGGTTCCTGGGTTCTTTCGTGGGTTATTTTTCAAATAGAAAAACCCGCGTTTTAGAAACGTGGGTTATTCTTCCCGTGAAATAACCCATGATTCTAAAACGTGGGTTATTTTTCACCAAAAATAACCCACGTTTTTCTAGGGGAGGAATTCTGAAAGGGGGGGGATGTGCGCGTGGGTACCGGAGGGCCCAGAATGACAACGTACACAATTCCAACAGACGGCGGAGATTACCACTGATCTTAGAAACAACAACCAACACAATAACCGTAAAAATCATGTCTACTAATCACGGTATGATTGGATGAGTACTGTATTACAGTACAGTAAAGTACACACATGCTCCTCTTTTYTCTGCCGGCAGTAGAGGCAACTCCGATTAACATGGGGTCAATATCCATGCGCCAGGCGAGTATGATATTGGTCAGATGACCGGACACGCATGTTGTAGTGCGGAAGAACAGCTGTCCACAAGTGAGACACAACTTACCAACCAACCAACGAATCTCGCACATTCCAAACATYGGATCAAATATTCGACGACTCAGCACTATCTGACAGCGAAAAAGCATTCCTTTGAGAACACTATGAGAGTACGATACTCGTACCGTAGTAGAAAGGTATCCGTTGGATCAACCGATACCGAAGAAATTGAGGAAAACAAATTTCCGCACATGTTTTAATAGATTCTTAACACCATAATACTCCCAGCGCGACACCAAAATCACCATGTCAACGAAACAGAAGGCCGTCTTGGTCGTAACACCTTACTCGACGGGATGCTGCGTTGCCCTCGAGATGCAGCGACGTGGATACGCCATTGTGGCCCTATGGATTAACGGTTTCGCCGAAGAAATGAAGACCCATGTTCCGCTGAGCTGCGCCGAAGAACTGAAATACGTGAGAGAAATTGATGAACAGGCTAGCCTGGAACTAACATTGGAAGAAATCGAACGTCATTCCGTCGAGGCCGATCTCGATATTGTGGCCTGTCTCGCAGGCGGAGAAGCTGGGGTTGACGTTGCCGATATTCTTAGTGAAGCCATGGGACTGCTGTCGAACGGAACCCTACGTGTAGACGGAGAAATCCTCAACCGTCGGGACAAAAAAGTCCAACAGGAGCTCCTTCGTAAAGCTGGGATGCGGGCCGTGAGRCAGGCTGGAAGTGACAAATTTGAAGACGTTGAAGAGTTTTTGAGGACAGAATCCTATCCGCTCGTCTTGAAACCGACGGAATCAGCAGGATCCGATGGAGTCAAGCTCTGCCCCAACTTCGAAGAAGCGAAAGACCACTTTCATCAGTTGATGAACAGCCAGCTGGTCAATGGTGGTGATTGCGGCGAAGTCTTGTGCCAAGAGTTTTTGAAGGGTAAAGAGTACGTCGTCGACCACGTGAGTCTCAACGGCGTTCACAAGACCATGATGGTGTGGGTGTACGACAAGCGGGAGAGAAACGGTAGTGCATTTGTTTACTTCGGCTGTGTACCAATCGAAGCCGATTCCGAGGAAGCAAAGTTGATCATTCCTTATATTCGAAAGACATTGGATGTGCTGGGTGTAAAAAATGGGCCGAGTCACGGAGAAGTCATTATAACCGAGAGCGGTCCTTGTTTGGTAGAAATGAATTGTCGAGCGAATGGRGGAGATGGTGCTTGGCAACCCCTGGCACGGGGATTGACGCCAGGAGATTATTCTCAAGTCGAAGTGACAGCCGACGCGTATTTGAACCCCGAAAAATTCGACTCGTATCCAGACATTCCYGGAAGACTCATCGGACAGGGTGTTGAGGTCTGCTTGGTCTCGTACGGAAAAGGTGTAGTYAGAAGAACGCCAGGCTTTGATGTCTTAAAGAAACTACCGTCTTGTATCCATTTCGAATCGGGAGTCCAGGTCGGTAGCAAAGTCGATCTCACTATTGACTTGATTACTTCCGTAGGAAGTGTAATTGTCTATCATGAGAATCCAGCAATTGTGAAAGACGATCTCCATTTCATCAGGTACCTAGAAAATATGAACGGCTTGTTCGTCTTCGAAGACAACAGAGCAGAAATCGAGGAAGAAAAGAAAGAGGACGAAGTAGTGAACACCAAGGTCGCCATTGCCGACGCAACTGTTTCTTCCCAAACGGCTAAAGATACTACAGTCATTCGACAGGCGAAGGAGCTCGAGGGAGAGCCCGATGATGGTCGATTCCCCGACGCACCCTTCCTCAAGAAAACAATTTCGCTTCAACGCACCGTCGATCTAGATACTAGGAACAATCTTTTCGATGGAGAGGGCCCACCAACAATGATTCGCACCGTATCTATCCCAAAAACTCAAGGTCACAGAAGAACTTTTTCGGAGCAAGGTCCCTCCATGTTCCGAACTCTATCGCTACAGAAGAAATAGAAGAAGCAAATTCAAACGAAAGTGGCTCTTTCGATTCCTATTTTTGAAGATTCCAGTTTGTTGATTCTWCAAAACGTACTTTTCCAACGGATTACAAAGAGCTGAATAGTAGAATTTGATAATGTTACAAAATTAGAGACCTTTTTAAGAAAATGGTTTTGTCCGATATGCTCGCCAGATATATGGTWATTTTTAMGGCATTCAATCAGAGCCACTTATCATGTATTYCACTCCAGTTTATTCAATCGAGGTCGGGTGATATCCTTTTGTATAGTTTWCGGTGTGCAAGTGAGTGTGGAATTGAAATGCTGCCKAGCTGTGTTGAATGCAATCGTTACGACGAATACCACATTGGGAACTCCAGCTTTGAACTTATGAATTCGGCAATATTGGATCCACCGGCATCGTATTTGGTTTCAATRGATCCTTTCAAGGGATATTCCCCGGCCATCGGCAACGTATTCTTGCGGCATTGCATAGCTTGACKTAATTCACTTTTTCGAAGAACAAGACAAATTCCAAATTCGTGTTTTTGTTTGAACTCCTTTCTGCACCAAAAATACACTTTTCCTTTTCAGCGCCTGCCGGCTCGTTGAAAGTAACAGTACTCGTACCTGTACTCGTACCGGTCCCGATCTGTATGTATCTACGTGTACGAGTACGAGTGGCGTTTTGTACCGTAAAAAGCTCTGCTATTTTTTGAAAGTGACCCCTTCTCGAAAAATATGCAAGAACATAACTGTCAAACTGAAACAGCACACAACGCGACGTTAAAAAACTCTSCGTACGATTTAAGAGTCAAACAATACGAAGCGACTGTCACCTGACTTTACTGCTCATTTCTGACATAGTCTCTTTCCTTCTTGTTCCTACATCTTTTATGTCCTCGAGTTCGTCTGTGAACGAGTGGGACAACGACTACGCCCGAGTTGCACGAATCGCCTCACAATTGCGTAGCCAGGGATCGAAAACCAGCAGCAAAAGTGGATATTCGAGCCAAGCCGATCACCGAACACTATCTCTGCAGATTACAAGATTAGACGAATCCCTTTCGACTTTACCCTTGCCGGTCGGACAAATCCAGAGACGCCGACGTTTACTGCAGCACTTACGTGGACACAGACTCGATAGTATGAGTGGTAGTGGAGATTACAATCCCCCATCCGCAGATGGAGGAAATATGGGAGGTCAATCACGAATGACCGTTGCAATGCAACAGCAAGACGCAATGATCGATGAATTGGCCGTGGGTGTAGGAAGACTGCGAGATCAGACCCAGGTTATTGGCGACGAAGCCAGAATGCACGTTGATCTTCTCAACGATATGGAACAGAACTTAGATGCCGCCCACGGTGGTTTGGATTCCGAGACGAGGCGGGCAGCACGTCTTAAGGAGGATCAGTCGGTTTGGAGATTGCAATTGATGGTTGCGGGATTGTGTGTTCTTTTTGTACTGCTCTTCTTTATGGGAATGTCGCCGTAAATCCTGAGCGTAAGAGAGCAGGCCATAGCACAACGAAACAGAACAGAATGCGCCATAGCATCGCATGTGCGATGGGTAGATGCGAATATCCTGTAATATCCATGAACACATATGAAGGAAGGATATCATGCCTAGTCCCAAGAACATTAAAGTTAGTACCAAGGATTTTCAATCTACGGTACTAATACTGTGTAAACAAATGAATATTTTTTTGGTAGTTTCGGAGTCTTCTTTCCATCTCCAAAGTACTTGCAATTGAACATTAGCGTGATTAGAACACTTTGCTCACTTTTAAGAAATAGTCGGTGCATTGGGATGATATTAGCTGACAGCAGCAAAGCAGCTTGGCAAGATCATCATCAAGACATTACTTAATTTCACAAAAGAGCAAATATCGCTCGACCTGTCTGTGCTTTTGAAAAATGACAGCATTGCTAAATAGGAAAAGCATTGTAAAATATCAGAACAGAAAGAAATACTATTGCATTTTGAAATGAGACCTCTTTGGTTGCATGGAAATAGAAACCGCTTTTATGTTTCTCAGCATTTTAGTATTCTGATAATGTCTTGGAGGTCTCCAAAGATTTGACTGCTAGTAGCATGAAGAAGAAGAGGTCATTTCTAGTGGATTTTCTTGTTGGTGGTACTAGGTAGTTTTATCTGGTGAATTTCCAATTTGTAATCATTCTTGACAGTAGTTCTTGCACAAAGACAAGCAAGTAGTAGAATATTTTCAGTAGTAGGAACTCTTCAGCCGCCAGCAAAATTGGCAGATGATATTTATGCTGTTTCAGTAGTTTACCCTGCAAGAAAGAACCATATTCTTTGCATCAATCATACTCACAAGAAATACTACTACTAGTACTAGCAATCATGAGCTATTCCTTTGATGATGGACAAAGCACACACTGCTGCTGGGGGAATCAGCTGCTCATAGTCACTTGCTGTACTATCAACGGGAAAATATCAAGATTTTTTTGACTTAATGGTGATGGGCTGTAGCACTCTTGTTGTTACTTTTTTAAGTAAGAAGATGCCAAGGATTGTTACTATCATTAGTAGTTACTACTAATGTATGGGAACTTAGATCCTCCCCTCTCCTGTTCCCAATCTACTAGTAGTAGTACTAGACATTGGGTGTTGCAAATTTTTTAAAGAAAAAATATTTTTTTTGTAAACAAACAACAACAAAAAGAAGTCTGTGACTCAGATATGGAAGGCCTACTACAGTGAAACACAACTTCTTGCTACTACTACTACTTCCAATTCATGCTGGATTCAAGTGTAGCACTGCTCTCAGTGTTGAGCAAATAAGATAGGACTATTTTGCCATGATCCTCATTTTTGAGGAGGTTATTAGTACTACTACTAGTAGTACCACCACATACTAAGAATAACAAACTCAATTGATGACAAGCCAACATGATATGGGCATTGAGAGTTTTCTTCTTCGTCAGCACTGTGGATTCAGTGCCTGCTGTTGCCTTTATTTTTTGTGCATTTGATAATTCCATCCACAAATCTGACTGTTCTCTTGTTGGATGTTCTCAACTTGTTTATGGTGTCTCCACTTTTTTTGACACTAGTTGTACTACTTGAGTGGAAGCAATGACCACCTACATGTTATGCAGATTAGTCTTATTTCTATGAAGAAGTGAAAAAACATGATAAATGCCCATACATGATGTCCAAAAATTGTTTTCTCCCTACAACTACTAAATGATTAATATCATACACCTTGAATGGTGTCAAACATCTCTTTTTCACAAGTGTGACCAATACAAAGAAGTTGTCCTGACAAATGCTACTATTACTACTAGTACTAGCCAGCTTTCATCAAAGTAAGCTAGTACTAGTATTTTCAAATGATTGTTGGAATGCTTTCAAATGATATTAGTACTGGTAGTACTACCAGTAGTACTAATAGTCACATTTGTAGTAGTAAGAACATGTATGTCAACAAAATTGCTCTTCTTTCTTTTAAAGGGCTACTACTAGTATTTTGGGCACCCATTCCTACTAGTACACTAGTAAAGGAATGTTACTAGTACTAGTTTGAGGAGTGGTATTACTACTACTGGTGAGCAACATCATCATAACTTGTAGTATCACCAAACTGTTACTGGTGAGGATGATTTTTCCAACACAAACTACTAGGAGAAACAATCATAGATGATGGTACAGTGATGGGACTCTTCCTCTGCCATAAAGATCTTCTTCCCCTGACACATTGTTTGTAATAGATAATTCCACAAGAAAGTATAGCTGCTCAATGTCCAATTTCATCACTCCGTGCTTTTTCCTAGCATTTTCACAGTGGTTTTTAACTGTGATTTCAATTCATTGCTTCAGATTTTCCCTCCTATCATATGTTTCATAGATAGCAACACTCTGGTGTAACTTTAATTACATTGCAATGCAACCAGGGGTATGCAATGCAACACTATTTGAAAAAGAACATTGCATTGCAAAGGTCCACAGTG